TAAAAAACTGAAGCAGCTTAGCCGTGAACTGAGTTCTCAAGTTCATCAAAATAATGTGATTCTGAAAAACAAATATGCCAAGGACCTCCAAGCAATTTTTCAGGTGAAAGAACCCAGTGGCAAAAAAATTACTAAAACTCATTGATAATTTATTTGAGTTAGTACCCAATCTTCATGCTAACACTTAAATAAAACTGATGAAAACAAGCTATGCTGGATCTTCAACACTACCTAGAAAGAACTTGAGCAATCAACAGGATTGCCCTTCCAATGACAGTATGTGCCCTCTTTGCTACCATGGTTGCTTATGGTGTTTGTCTTGCTGGCTTTGCTGCTAAGCTCCCTTTCTTGTATGTATGTTTGCTCTTACTCAATGAAATTATATGTGCATGCGATGTTTGCATGTTCTCTAGATACAAAGAGACAACAACTAGTAGGGAGATACTTACCATCATCTCGGAGAGTGGCATTTTAATTTTTGTCAACATGATCTCTGTGTTATTTGCCCGTCGTATATCAATCTGTGGATTTTTCAAGGACACCAACAAAACTTTCAGGGTTTTATTTGCACCAGAGGGACACAAGTTTTGTTGTAAGAAAGAAAATACAACTAAAAGAGTCCAATGCAAGCAGTCAGACAAGCTACTTTGAGGTAGCAAAAAATAAAGACATGGTACGAATGCAAAACCGAGTGAAACACCACCTATGCTCTTTCCTTACAGTAAGTTAGTTCATGAGAAAGGCCGTCGCAACGTGCATGTTCTCAACTTTACTATGACTTCAGTCTCACATTGTAACTTGGAGGAGGTAATTTTACACTACTTTCGTGCATGACCTTACATGTGACACATCATATTAAAGAGCAATCATCACGTATTGCTTGTTTAAACCTAAAGTAATTAACATACTATGAAATTGAATAGAGTATTGCACTCTGTCTGCGCTGTAAAAACCTGTCCTCTGAAAGGATATTACAGGGTTTATTAATGAAGAAAAGGTACAAAAAATCATGATGTTGACATGCTATGCACCATAAACTTTGATGCCACTAAAAAATTCAGTGGCATAGCCTAGCTAGATGAGAGAGACTGAACACTGGCGGCGCTTTTGCTTATAGTATTTCAAATTGTTGGAGTAAGTTACCAGGTGAATTTTATCGGTTTTCGAACCAAGAGATTTTCCAGCCCCTTCTGATTTCGAGCCGCCTTTTGTCTTTGGAGCGATAGTGAAAAGAGACGCCAGTTCATTCACATCGAACTCGGAATTGCTGCATAGATGGTGCTATCAGTTAGCAGAATAAGAATGAACGTTAATTATATATTTTGCGAGAATTGAGCTGATAGCGACATTTTCTTATCAGAGCATTTTACGAGAATTCATATCTTCTGGATCAAACAGTTGAAATAACAAAGAGTACCTATCAGCATCTGCTTGCTTTTGAATTTCTGCCCATACACTTCCTTGCATTGCTCTTGTTACTTTGACCCAGTGCAGTGGTTTTAGAGATGACTTCCGTGTTACAGTAAGTGAGGTTGCGCCCAAGGAACGAAGACCTCTTGCACCAGGTGGTGGGGGGCCACCTCGTCCACCAGGAGGTGGAGGGGGGCCACCAGGTACTCCAGGAGGTGGAGGGGGCCCACCAGGTACTCCAGGAGGTGGAGGGGGCCCACCAGGTATTCCGGGGGGCATTGGAGGAGCAGGTGCACCTGGAGGGGGAGGGGGGCCACCTACTCCTCCATGCCCTCTAGGAGGAGGTGGTGGCGGAGTCCCGCCATATCCTCCGGGAGGAGGAGGAGGAGACGGAGCTCCACCTCGAAATCCTGCGGGAGGTGGAGGAGTTGGAGTACCTCCTAGCCCTCCAATAGGCGGTGGTGGAGGTGGAACTCCTCCGATTCCTCCAGGTGGAGGAGGAGGTGGAGGTGCCCCTCCATATCCTCCGGGAGGTGGCGGCGGCGGCGGTGCAGCCCCACCAGAGGCTCCAGGAGGTAGCGGAGGAGGTGGAGGTGCCACTTGGTATCCTCCGGGAAGTGGCGGCGGCGGTGGAGCCACTCCACATGGTACAGGAGGTGGTGGTGGCGGCGATGGAGCCCCTCCATGCACTCCAAGAGGTGGTTTTGGAGGTGGAGCTCCACCTTGAAATCCATCTTGCAGTGGAGTTCCTTCTCGTCCTCTAACAAGTGAAGGCAGTGGAGTTGTTTTATTTCCTTCAGGACAAAGTGGAGGTGGAATTCTTTCCTTTTCTTCACAAAAAGTAGTTGGTGGAGGAATTGGAGCTCCGACTTGACATTCTGGTAGAGTTGGAGATGGGCTTCCTTCAGTAGGATGAGGAGGGAAATTCCCAGCGCTCTCTCTAGGTGGAGGTGGTGGTGGCAGCGGAATTCCAGCATCCCTTGTTAGAGGTGGAGGTGGAGCTATTACATGATCCTGGGAAATGGAAGGAGGCAAAAGTGCTTGATGTTGTCCAAAAGGAGGTGGTGGTGAAGGTGAGGGTACATCATGCCTTTTAGGTGAAATTGGAGGCAAAGGGCAAATTACTTCATGTTCTCTAGGCGGAGGTGGAGGAGGTGGCGGAGATGGTGGTGGTGCAGACGGGGATGATGTATCATTTATATGAAGAGCTGGTGGTTGAGGTAAATGGGGAGATGACAAGGATTGTGTTGAGGGTGTAACTGAAGGTGAGGGCAAAGGTTGTGGAGGTGGCAAAGGCGGGGGTGCAGGTGGTGTTGAAGGTGGGTGACAGGGTTGAGGTGTAAGTATATCAACAGGTGAAATTCCCCTATGCCAGCTGGGTGGATGTGGTGGGGTTGGAATGGTTCCATGTTCTTTTATACGAACTGTGGAGGGTGGGGTTTCATTGATCAGTTCATGCCGCGAGAATTCCTTGCATGCTTCCAAAGGAGGATCTAAAGGCTGTTCATGAGGTACTTCCTCTTTAAGTTTTGAACTTGAAGGATCATTTTCTCCAAGAGGTGGAGGTGAAGAGAGGGGTTGTTTTCCTGGTGCTGCTGCTGCTGCTTCTTTATATGAACAATCTGAAGAAGACTTTGAGCTTATAAGTGGTACCGATTCACTATCATTACATGTAATTGGCAATGGTAGTTGTGGCAGTGGGGGAGGCAGGGGTGGAGGCTGTGGTGTACTATGTTGAGAAGTTTTGGGAGATAGAGAATGAGGCATGTGAAAGAAATACTTTGTATCTTCACTGGTAGTTGGAACATCCATGTCAGTTGATATATTTCTTCTGTTTGCTACTTCTGCGTCTATAAAATCAGAGGCTCCTAAGAGAAAGTCTGTCATCACTATACTACTTTTGGATGGTAAAGTTAGAGAGGAAAAACCTAGGTCGAGAATAGTTTGTCTATGAGGACTAGAGGAGCAAGACCCCTTTTCTCTTTGTGCATGATGAGATATTGAGGTGCTTGAATTATTTTGAGTACAAAGAGTATGTGAAGGAGGAGGTGGGGGTGGGGCTGGAGGGTGAGATGCATACCTGTTGGGAGCAGGCAAAGATAGACTACCTGGATGTAAATCTTTTCCGTGTATCTTTGCTGGGTAAGGTTGTCGAGGTGGTGGTGATGGTATCAAGGGAGAATGAGGGTTAACATGTTGTTGACGGTTGGCATGTAATAATGGAGAATAGGAAGTTGACATCTCTATATATGCTTCCAATGAAGAAGATGAAGGTAGAGATGAAGCAGTTTTGATTGGTCGTAGATGGGGATTTACTAGAGATGATACTTCTGATGATCTTAGAGAAACATCCCTTCCGCTTGTAGAAGGAACAGAGTTCTGATTAGATTCTGTTTGCAATGGAGATAGAAAGGACAAATCTGTCGATGATGAACGGAGCACATTACGCCTGGGAGAATATGGTGCAAAAATACGTTGTGTTGACAAAGGAAGAAAAGTTTTTTTATTTAGCACCAGTCGAGACGAGTCAGCTGTAACTGTACTTGCACTGGCATGAGTTAGAGCGTCATTTGCTTCCAGGCTAAATCCTTCAGATAGCATATTCACAGAAGAAATATTCGAAGGTTGGCCTGTCGAGCTGGATACTGAAGCTTCCGTTCCTTCTGTTTGTTCTGCAGATCCGTTATTATTGGAAGCATCAGACTGCTTAATTTTTTGCTCACTGGAACTTAAAATCAGGGTAGCACTTGTGCTCTGCAGGTGTGGCCTCCCTAACAATGCAGGCTCCACTCTGTTATTCTCATCTGTGGGTTCAATCACTAGTACGTTTGTGCCACTGATGCTAGGTTGATCCGTGTTACTGTTGTTTTCTTGTTTGATGCCATTGACAGAAGTAACACATTCTTCTCCTAGACTATCTCCCTCATCCTGTTTGAGAGCAATGTCAATGTTAAGTCCTGCAGTACTATCAGCCTCTGTCAATATAGTGCTTTCCGAATTGTGGACTGCATTGCCTGATTCAATCTCGCCCTCCAGCACTTGTTTTGGAGTGGTGACTTCAGATATGATTACTTCTTTGATCATCTGAATGTCCTTTGGACTATTGGTTTCCAATATAATCACCTCTTTGACCAGCACATTATCAGTATGACTCGAGTCTTGCTTGGGATCCACTGTCCTGTCCTGCCTTGAATCGCTGTTTTCAACTGTGCAGCCATCATCTTTATCTATGTAGGTAGCAGAACTTGAATTGCTGCTGTCTCTGCCTCCATCTGTTGTACTTTCCAAACTTGACACTACTCTCGTTATATCTTCGTGCATAATATTGGTGTCAACAGATGTGCATGCATTTTCATCATTTAGTATTCCAAATGACATATTCATGTCATTGGTTTTACTTTCTGGTGATCCACCAATATCATCACTGCTCAGCTCAAGACTGGAAAATGGCGAGATTTTCCTGGCTTCAGCGCTTAAAGTACGATCTGAAGAAGCTATGGAACGAAAATCAGCATCCTTGTGTCCATCATGTAAGTCAGGATTACTGAAGATTTCCTCTGCTTCAAAGAACTCATCAGTAGAGCCAACTTCTATCTCATCCCCACAGTCGTCGTCATCGTCGTCGTCATCATCACCGGATGCAATTTCGGAAGACGCATCAGATTCAGCATCAAACTCTGAAAAGAGTACCTGGTTCAGGCATGCACTTGCAATTAACATTAATCGATTTGATAATAAGTAGCCCCAGACATGTAAGAAAAAAGCACGGCCTACCTCTGCTTTGAAGTTCTTTGTGAACCGGTAATCAGCATCCCAAGAGACATCAATGTGCTCAAAGTTCAACTGTAAAATGTGAGACTGGATAAAGAAAGTATTGAACATCACCCTAAACATTAGCCTTTCATTTTCTAGGCCATCATCCACATGCAAGCATTCAAGGACCACATCACCTTGGACGCAGGATCCCACATTTAACTTCACCGGCATGTTGTCTGCCTGCAACGGTAGTTAACAAGTAACTAACACAAATAGCATAATGATCAAGAACTAAGCTGAGCTTGATGGTACCTGTCTGTAACGCCTAACATGTTTCTTGGCTTTGAATGGTGTTGCAAGAGCATTGCGACCTCTATCAAGCGTTAGAATATCCTGCCCATATACTCGAACTATTGGCCTACAACCACCTACTCCATCGAAATTTGGTACTCCTCTAAGAATTACACAATCCAGGGTGAAAGGAATAGGTTGTGTGGGCAACCCCAACGCGTAGTCCATTCTGCATATGTACTGTAGATATCGAACATGAGAAGGCTGTGGATTTAATGTTGTTAACATCTGAAGAAGCTCCTTGGGTGCTTGCTTGTACACCATGTCCAGAGTTCTTTGCTCCCCATTGTATTGTTTCCGGTACAGAAGAAGAGCTGCAAGCATAAATGCCAACACTGGCCATCCGCCTTTCTCACAGTGCATTAGCAGAATATTTTGCTTCCCTTCAAACATAAGCCACCTCTCGCTCAGCCTGAGGAAGTGGATGATGATGTCCAAAGGAAGCAATGGGCATCCTAAGTATTGGCAGGGGTAATCTTTGACTGTAATTCTGTACAGGGAGAACAAGCCTGAAACCAGACTTTTTCCTTCATCTCTGAAGTTTAATACCATCAATGAAGAATCTGCAAACTGCTCACGGAGCTGCAACACAATGCTGTCCAGATAATTCTTGTATTTGAATTGATCCATGGTTTCTGTCGAGAAGCAACAATCGAATACTGCAAGCATTGAACAGACCAGTCATTTTCTCTTCATGTCAAACTGGACTTGTAACTGTAAGCATATTCACGAAGATTTTAGCAGCATGGTGCAAGGCTGGCAGGCACTACTTGTTGAAAACAATCAGATATGGGAATAGCAGCACTACATGATAATTTTTGGAGCCTCTGTTCTCACAGTTCAGTAAAAAAATTGAAGACCTATACAACTCACAAGATTTAAGTGTTTGATTGGAAAAAGGAGTGGCACATTCATGTTGTAGTTTTGTCTCCCGCTTCAGTCTTGTTCTAGTTCTCAAATTATAACTGCATGATAGTGATCATGCGCCTGTTGTGCCTTAGTTATACAGCCACTTGTTCTTGTCCATAGGTTAGAACAGCACATTCATTTGCATTGGCCTAAGTAAACTAGAATGGCTTTAAAAAAAGAAGCTAATGCAGCACGTACATAATGTATACATTAGTGATAAAATGTGGGGGTAAAGAATAAAATCTTGTACTAGCAGTTTCTTCCCGTATAGACCAAATTATTACGTAAAACAGCTAAATTTATGAGGCTAAAAGAGCTATAATAATAAAAAATCGCGAGCAATTCCATGCCCCCTTGTATCCTTGGCGAATTGCCCCAACATTTCAAGAGGACGAGGCAGGCAGGGTTACCGTAGACGCGGTCTGCGATCTCGAGGAGCCGATCCGGCGGCTTCCGGTAGAACAGCCTCCGGAACAGCGCCATTTCCTCCTCCTCCCCGTTGCCGCCGTCTCCGGCGGCCTAGGCTGCGGCACCCCCCTTCCTGATCGCGTCCGCCTGCTCAAGCGCAACCAGCGACCGAGGAGCACTACCAAGGACGCCTCGCCCGCGCCGCCGCGGCCGCCGGCGACCCCACGACCCAGCTCCGGCACGCGACGCGCGCGGGGGGAGGCAATGCGCGGCGGAATTCGCCCCTCGCTAGGGTTTCGCCCTCGTATTTTTCCTCAAATTTTTTGGTGCGAAAAAATCTCTGGTTTTTTGGGGTCGCTGCTAATTTTTTGGTGTTTGAGGTGGCGGAGAAGGAAGCGGAAGGAGAGGAGAGAGAGAAGGAAGAAAGGAGGGAGGAAGGAGGAGGCGGCACGAGACGGAACAGCAGAAACTACGGCTAGTCGGCTCGGCCCGGCTGTTTGGGAGTTTTTTTTAAAACAGTTTTGCTAAAGCATATTGCTCTCCAGCCTTTCGGCCCACCAGGCGGTGAAAAAAAACCGCCTGCGGGCGAACTGGCGCAAGTTTGGCGCGTGGGGCGATTTCGTTCCCAGTCGTCATTCATCAGGTCGCCGCCAATATTGCGCGAGGTCGATGAAATTACGTACAAATTTGTACAAACTCGGCGATCTGGTACGAACTCAGCGAAATTTCATTGAAATTTGTAAAAAAAAAGTAAAAACATGCAAACAACGGCAAACTACGCCACACTAGCCACTGCGCCTCGTCCACCGTCTGCCATCTACATGCCAAGAAGCATGTAGAAACGGGTGTAGTCGCCGCCGCCGCCGCCGCCGTCGTCGCGCGCCCCGCCGGAGCCACCGTCGTCCCTGCTGCACCCCTGCCCAGGGTCGCCGACGCGCGGGGCATTGGACGGTCCGGCCTCGTCCTCCTCGTTGCTGTCGAGGACGATGACGACGCCCTCCTCGCGCCCGCGGCACCGGGCTTGGAGCTCCGCGTATGCCTGGCGCTGGCGGCGCACCTGCTCGCGAATGTAGTCCTCCTTCACCCATTTTAGGGCGGCCTCGTCGTCGGGGGCCACCATGTCGACGTACTCCGGCTTCACGGGGAGCAGGCCTGGCTCAGGCTTCGGCCGGACCAGGCGAAGGGAGCGCGGGGAGGGGCGGGTACCCTCGTTGATGACGAGGGCGCCGCTGCGGGTGTGGCGCCACTGCGGTGTCTCCTCCGGCTCTGGCTTGATGGGACGGAGAGCCGGCGAGCCAGAGCCTGACAACGAGGACGTCGGCTCCATTCGCCGCGGTGTCTAGGAACTGCCACGGTGGCGAGAGAAGGACGGCCGCGCCGGGTACTCGAGGCGCGACACGTTGCCGGTCTCGATGTGGTCGAGGATGCGGCGTGGGACGCCCCACCACTAGCGCCGTCCTTTGGCGTTGAGGCGGCCGCGGGGAATGACGTCATTGACGGAGGCGATCTGCTCTTCGCGGCGGCGCTCGAAGTACATCGTCCACGGCGTTTCGCTGTCGGGCGCGTACCTCGGCTCGTTCCGCTGTTCCTCCGTCAAGAAGGAGCAGATGCGGGCGATCTCAGCCCGCCGTGCCACCCCTTCGGGCACCGGCGGCACCGGGACGCCGCCGTCGCTCAGCCTTCACGCCCCCGGCACACGCATGTCTAGGGGCGCCGGGTACTCGGCCTCGTAGAGGAGGCGCACCTCTAGCTCTTGGAGATGGCGGCCGCCGAAGCCGTTCGCCGCCGCGTGGTCGCCTGGAAACCTCTCGGCCATTTTTGCTCATCGGCGGGAAGGGAGGAGAGGGCTGCTTTGCAAGGCGGATGCAGGGGGGTTGTGGCGTTCACCGGCGGGCAGGGGTCGCCTTTTATAGCCCCAGTGGGGCGGCGAGAGGCTGCATGCTGGGCGACGCGTGGCGGGAACGGGCGAGATGCGTGTCGGCGGCGCCAGGCATCAATGGAGCATCAATGGAGGCTGACCGGCGCGGCAGCGCGGCAACCTTGGCATTGATTCCCGCGGGAACTGAGGCGATGAGGGCGACAAAGCGACGTCTCGCTGACTCGGCGGGCCCATCCTTTTTCGCACCAAAATCGCGTCCCCCGGCAACCCCAGATGCTCCCCAGCGTGCCTGGTTTGGCCTAGGTCCGCCGACGCTAATTTCGGCCCAAAACGGCAAAAAACAGGCTCCTAGGGGCGCGACTGGGCCGTTTTTTGGGCGTCGGCGCGAAGAAATCGCCTGGGGGGCGTGTTGGGGGCTCGGTTGGAGATGCTCTAAGTATTGTACATCTAAGTCTATGTATGGGAGGAGGTTCACTTAGTCTAATGAACAGTAGCTGGCTACCTTGACCAAGATTGAGCGCATTCTACTTTCCATGGATTGGGATTTGGAGCATAGTGAGAGTCTCCTCCAAGCCCTTTCATCCAGAGTTTCGGATCACGCTCCGCTACATCTCACCACTAATGCCTCATTCATGCATAGAAAAAGGTTCCGGTTCGAGCTGTTTTGGACTAGATTGGAGGGGTTCCAAGAGGCCAATCGTGATGCATGGGGTATGTGATGACCGCATCACTGACCCGTTTAAGAGGCTGGACACGCTGATGAGAAACACTAGGACAACACAAAACCGGCAATATCAACCTGCAAATGGCCATCGACACATGGATCATTTTCAGATTGGATAAGGCTTCAGACGTGAGACAACTTACGAAACTAGAAGGGTGGTTGAGGCGCACCTTGAAACTGGCACTTCTTGGGCTTGCATCCTTGGAGCGTACCATTGATAGGAAGAGGTCATGCTTCAGATGGCTTAAGGAAGGAGATGAGAATGCTACATTCTTTCAAGCATTTGCTAATGGTCGAAGAGCAAAAAAAATCATCCCATTAAGCATGGTGAAGAGATAGTGACATATCAGGAGAGGATGGAGGAGATCTTTTCTGACTCCTTCCACTCCATCATCGGGACGGCCCACGCTAGAGAGCACACCCTGGACCTGGAGTACTTGGGCATGCAACAGATAGATCTACAGGGCATCGAGGCTATCTTCACTGAAGAGGAAGTGTGGTCAGTATTTAAAGAGTTACATCCAGATCGAGCTCCGGGCCTTGATGGATACATCGGCGCCTTCTTTCAGAAGGCATGGGGCATTATCAAAAATGACATCATGGCGGCTCTCATCAAATTCTTCATGGGAGATGGATGAGGATTCTCTAAACTGACCCGTGCAATGATTGTGTTGTTGCCAAAGAAAGTGGGTGCGGAAAGTGTTGGAGACTATCGGTCGATAAGCTTACCTCACAGTATATCTAAGCTATTCGCCAAGATACTAGCGATGAGAGTGCGACCACATATGAAAGACTTAGTGACTATCAACCAATCTGCTTTCATTCAAGGGTTATGCTTCCATGATAACTTCCTCTTGGTGCGGCAAGTAGTGAGGAAGATTGCTAACCGGAAGAGCAAAGGTGTGTTCTTGAAGATAGACATTTCAAGGGCTTTTGATTCACTCTCATGGTTGTTCCTATTCGAAGTGCTGAGAGCGAAAGGATTCAGAGAAAATTGGATCAAGTGGTTGTGTATACATCTACATACGGCTTCCACCAAAGTGTTGGTTAATGGGATCCCTGGCAGGAGCATTTGGCATGCATGTGGTCTCAGACAGGGCGACCCCATATCCCCCGTTCTCTTTGTCATTGCCATGGATGCCCTCATGGCAATCTTCGAGAAAGCTTTGGAGGAGGGCGTGATCAGATCATACAGGGGCGTTGGAGCCCGACAGAGGCTGTCCATTTACGCCGATGACGTTGCTTTGTTTGTGCACCCCACAACAAGCGATCTGAGCTTCATCAGGGAGGCTCTTCAGGTGTTTGGAGAGGCCTTGGGTTTGAGGATAAATTACAGAAAGACCACAGTCACCCTTATACATGGCGATCAGGATGACAAAGACAGGGTTACCGCCCTATTGCAATGCGAGCTTGTTGAATTCCCGTGTAAGTACTTGGGCATACAATTGGCGATCAAAAATGTCACGCCCAATATGCGATACTATCCTAAAGAGACTCGAAGGTCCCACCAAGGATAGAACCGCATATTGAAACGCTTTTGCAAGGTGGATATCATTACATCAACATTACATAATAGTTGGGGATACATACAAAAGGCATACAATGCCACACGAATACAACATCATCTTACACAAGAGCATCATCCGACTACGGATGAAACACAAACAGAAACTCAAACGACATCCACCCTGCTAGCCCAGGCTGCCGACCTGGAACCTATCCCCTGATCGAAGAAGCAGAAGAAGAAAC